ACTTTTGTTGTGAGAAAAAAAATTGTGAAGACGTTGTAAAGATTGGTAATGAGGAAGGTGACTTGACTGGGTATCACAGACTTACAAAATCTTATATGTGTTTAGAGTTATGTTAATGGCACATTTATAAGCAAAGTAATGTCATGGAATAGAAGATCTGTAAGTTGACATGAGAAACAGAAAGTGTATTAAAGTTATCTGCAATCATGGGGGTAGATTGTTAGCCAAATGAATAAGAAATTAGATTCATCTCTCATGGTATGTAGCATGAAGAATTTAAAATGAATCAGTTAAAAACTGCAGAAATTATACAGTTTCAGAAAGCAAATGAATGTCTCTCCAATTTTGAGGAAATTACTGATGATACACATTGTAGAAGCAACAAGAAACACAAAGATTGATAGTAAAAATGAAATGACAAAGTTGAAAAACTTAGTTGTGACATCACATAAGAATACCTTTGGTATATGTAATTTATTATATAATTGGGGGAAAATACCAGCTCAAAGGAAAAGTGACTTGAGCACATAGTTCACTAAAAAAATACAAAGTGCTATTAACCATATAAAAGGGTTCTTGGATTTGCTCATAATAAGGATAATGACAATTGAAAATACAGCTAAGAGATAATTAGTTTCTCTACTATCAGATTAGCAAAAGTCCAAAGTTTGACAACATTTTTTTTTTGGCAACATGTTGGGAATTATGGAAAATCATACGTTGCTGCTAGTGATGTAAAATGTAAAACATATGAGTAGGAATTTAATATTTTGTAAATTTATATCATCTGCGGCAAAAAACGTAGTTCATCTTCTAGTAATATGTAGCAGTAAGAATGATTGATAGATGTTTGTATACCACTATGTGATAATGTCTTGGATATAATGTAGAAATAGGGGAGATGTAGGCTACAGAAAGTAAAAATGGTAATATGGTGCTTAGGGTGCTTTCATCATCATAGTAGATAACCATGTTTGTTAATGGTGCCCTGGGTAGTAACTGAAATTGTACTGGGCTTTCAACAGAATTTTGTCAAAATGGAATGCTGCATGAGCTAATGAGTTGTGGAATAAATAGGTTTTTATTGTGGAATAATAAGTAAAACAAAGAAGGGGGTTTTGCAGTATCTTAGGAAGAAGAACAGACATTCCGGATAAAGTTCCTTTAATACGAAGATAGCATTTTTAAATACTTGGAGTAGTGAGTGAAGAAGCTTTCTCTATGAGAGCAAGGTCAGTTCCCAAATAAATCCCAGCCTCCTCTCTTCTGTTAATTTCTTCGGAAGAACTTGAGGTAGCTTTTGAAGTATTTGTCGAAGGTTGCAAACTCCTCAGGAGGAGGCCAGGCATGGTGCCTCACACCTGTAATCCCAGCACTTTGGGAAGCCGAGGTGGGAGGATCACCTGAGGTCAGCAGGTCAAGATGAGCCTGGCCAACATGGCGAAACCCCATCTCCATCAAAAATATAAAATTTAGCTGGGTGTGGTGATGCGTGCCTGTAATCCTGGCTACTTGGGAGGCTTGAAGGAGGAGAATCACTTGAACCCAGAAGGCAGAGGTTGCAGTGAGACAAGATCATGCCACTGCACTCCAGCCTGAGTGATAAAATGAGACTCCTCTGGGGGGGGAAAAAAAAAAAAGGAAACCCGAGATTCTGCTTAACAGTTATAAAGTCAGAAGGTATGAAGATTATTTGAAGTTAGGCCTGTGGACGGGCTGATTGGATCTTCAGTAGTATGAGAAAGTTTAGTTAAGCCAAGGCACTATGTAAAACTCCAAGCTGTACGGAGCTCTGCCTGGCCAGCTGGCTGGCACTTGGGTAATGGGGAATGATAAGTGGTTAATTGCTTCATTGAATGACTGGATTAATGGTAGGATGAATGGATAAATTAACAGATGGGAATGGGTATATAAATGGGTATAAGATGAGGAATAATAATGGAATCACAAGTAGATGTGCAAATGGGACTGTGTGTGGATTGATGGATGGATGGATCTTGAATGCATTTTTGATGAAATTAAGGAACAAGAATAAATATATGAAGTATGGTATACATGTAAGCATGTTTGTGTGTGGGTGTGTGTGTATAGATTGATGCAAGAGTGGAAGGGGAGTAAGGATAAAAACTTTGATCAGCCATATTGACAACGCAAAATAAACTGAAGGTAGATGTATGAATGTATGAATTTGATGGATATGTGCCTGAAAGAACGTATGGATAGGTCAGTTTAGGAAAGGATCAGTAATGATTGTAATCATGTAATTCTCACAGTAACTGTTCAACAGTGACTGTTAAGGATGCTACGTGCTCATGGCAGTAACTCATGGGCCAACGTCACTAAGACTAACGCTTCTTACTGCTTTTATGACAGCATAAGGTTTTATTTTTCACTGTGGCTTTGGTAGAGTTATGGAAAATCATCCATTGTCTCTTAAATACGTAATGATAAATTGGGTAAAGGAATTGGGTAAATCCCATGGCTTTCCAAAACTTCAGGAGATTTAGGAGCTGTATTTTATGCTTTCTCAAGGAAGGGATAAAAAGGACACATTAAACACTGATAATGCTTACTGTAGGATACTTTTCTGGTCTCACAAACTAGGTGTACTTTCTACTTAAATGAAAACTTTATCCCCTTCACAGGGGGAACCAACAAAAACCTCATCCGGGTAAAAATCCAACGTCTCAGTGATGCTATCTCCCTATCATGAGGTAATTCGCAGTAATCTACCTCATGTCTCAGTGTACCTACTGTTGGCCCAGAGATAGGTGAAACTTAAAGATAATTGTATCTTGGCTGGGCGCAACGGCTCATGCCTGTAATCCCAGCACTTTGGGAGGCCGAGGCTGGTAGATCATGAGGTCAGGAGTTCAAGACCAGCCTGGCCAACATGGTGAGTGGTGTTGCGCAACTGTAATCCCAGCTACCCAGGAAGCTGAGGCGGGAGAATTGTTTGAACCCAGGAGGCAGAAGTTACAGTAAGCTGAGATTGTGTGCCATTGCACTTCTGCCTGGGCAATAGAGTGAGACTCCATCTCAAAAAAGAAAAAAAAAAGATAATTGAATCTCATTTCCCTTTGTACAACGTACAATGAGCAGGGTCAGGGAAATCATAATACAACTCCAAACTCTAAGCTGTCAAATGTGAGAGCAATCACTTCCATAGAAATTTTGAAATCCCTCTGGAAATACATTGTGAAGGCCCCACACTGGGCTAGAGAGTGTGTTATTAGGCCCTGGAAGATGCTCACTTGTTCCTTGTTTTCCTTGGCTATAGCTTTTACCTCTGGCACACTCTCCCAATCCCCTTATCCTACTTAATTATTTTTGAGATAGGCATTGTGGAAGATGTTTGACTGTACATAGAGATGATTACTTTAAGTCTTAAAACAATCAGGGGCTTTTCGTTTCTTTGGAAGTAAAAGTGACCCATTAAAAATGTAAAATGTATCATGGGCACAGGAGTTTCATGGCCTATATGTGATTCTACCTTATATCTTACCCATGGTGATTGTAAAACCATGTGTTGATGTGTTGATGTGTAATTTCCAAAAGAGGTGAATGCCCTTGGAACAGTGATCTATCATATGGAGCAAAGCTTCCTGGAGAGCCATCATAACAGACCCACAGGAATATTTTCATTAGTGCGAAGTAAATGTGTTAAGCCAGTAAGATCTTGAAGTGGCCACAACTTCAATCTGAGTACAGAGGGAAAATCACACACAATGATTCAGTGATTGGTGGATAGGTGTGTTCAAGGAGGCAGGGTTGGATTGGTGGTTTCGAGCATGCTTGTAGTAGACAGGCAGATATGTGAATTGATGGAAGGATGCAAGACTGGTTAGTGAAATTTTCTTCGTATTATATGGTTATGTGGATTTAATAACTAGTCATTGAAATTATGTGGGATTGGATATTTAAAGCCCCGAAAGATGAATACATTAATCTTCTAATATAATTTGAGATATAATAACAGATGGATGCACGCAAAATTGGGTATGTTGAGTAATGTGAGAAATGGATGGAAAGTAGAATATGAGCAGATGACTGGATGCGAGGATGGAGAGTGCAAGTTTTAAAAACCTGTTGGGGCCAGGTGCAGTGGCCCACGCCTGTAATCCCAGCACTTTGGGAGGCTGAAGTGGGCGGATCACGAGATCAGGAGATTGAGACCATCCTGGCGAACATGGTGAAACCCTGTCTCTACTAAAAATACAAAAAAATTAGCTGGGCGTGGTGGCGGGCACCTGTAGTCCCAGCTTCTAGAGAGGCCGAGGCAGGAGAATGGCGTGAACCCGGGAGGCAGCGGAGCTTGCAGTGAGCAGAGATTGTGCCACTGTACTCTGGCCTAGGCGACAGAGCAAGACGCCGTCTCAAAAACAAAACAAAACAAAAAACAATAACCTGTGGGGTGTATGTTTGGTTATATGCACAGTGGAATTATCTAGTGAAGGTGCAGATGGTTATATGCCTAGGTGTTAGCATTGGAGTGGATCAAAAATGGAATGCTATATGCATGAATCTTTAGAGTGATGAATACAAGTACGGCTACCTAAAATCTTGGATAAATGTAGGGATCAGGGTAGGATACATTGGTTGCATGGGTGATAGCTGCGTGTTTGATAGCTTTGGAGTGGCTTAATGGACAGTGGGTTGATTCACAAGGTGATGGTACAGGAATTTGATGACTATGAGAATGGGCTGATGGAATAATAAAGTCATATGTAAAGTTGACGGGAAAGATGGACGTTTGAAAGACAATGGTATAGTGTCATGGACAAATTCATTATGAAATTATGAAAGTTTTGTTTTTGCATTCTCAACATGTGTTAGTAAATAAGCAAAAACAAACCACAGTGGGTTCACAAATTAGTTTAATCAAAATGATCTTTCAATATTTTAATAATTTGCAGACTTTAGGAGGTTGAGGAATGAGAGAACTTCACCTTCTGTATATTAACCAGTCATATGTCACAATTTTCCCATATTTTTCACAGTTATAGCTGAGGTGGTACCAGTTTAAGAAGTGAGAACTTCTTCACTGACTGATATTTGCATATAAATCCAAATCATTGTGCTTGTTTACTATTTTTGTAGACGTCATTCTTCAAAAGTGCTGGTAAGAATCAGAAACCCTGGTGTACTGTTTATATTTGACCAATTTGATATTGAATCTAATTTGTGATATTTTACAGTCCAAAACCATACATAAACACAAGATTCTATAAAACACAAGATTGTGAATTTGTGGAGTGATTCTCAGTTAGGTGAAATGAAAGAGATAAAAGGGCTCCCTAAATTGTGACACAGTTTTGATAAGTAGTTTATGCAGGTTTTGATTTACCACTCTTACCTACTCTCACCATAGTATGTGATGTTATCTGGACTGAGACTGTAACTTTTTATCTGTATACTCAGTAAATTTTATATTATTTCAGTAAATTTTACTGAATGAATGCTTTGGAATACATTCATCAGCTAGAGGGAGATAAGAAAGAAATCTGGCAGCCTGTGGAAAATAAACAAAATGGATAGGATATTAAAAGTCATCAGAGAGCAAAGTCATTAGGAATTAGAATTTACTGTAAATAGTATGGGTTATAATGAGAGCAGCAGGTTCAATTTTAGTTCCAATTGCATGATTTAGGATATCATCAGTAAGTAGGTAAGGTAAGCAGATAGAAGATGAGGAATATTTCAACACTGAAGTAGTAAAAGTAGGGTCTTAACACCCTTTCATTTGATGAGTGAATGAAAAAAATCTTCAAATATTTTCCAACATTCCTGTTTTTTTGTTTTTTTTTTTTTCCACAAGCATCTTTCATAGTCAAGGAGGACAAAGACATCTTTCCTGCAGGTAAAATCATTAAGGACTATATTCTTGATTTTGAAGCTGTTCTATTTGCTATGTTGATGATACATTAGTTTCTTACTTGAGTTATTTGAAATTAAATTTATTTTCTCATACATCCTATTTTGTGGTTATGTGATTATTTTGAGTTGATATTTTAATCAAGGACTTTATACTTAACAACCAACATTTAAGCAAATCAGGCATTTTATTGACTTCAGTACTACTAGAAGTTGCGCAAGAAGCATACAGGGTAACAAGGAGAATTGATGGGTGGATACTGGGTTTTAGTTTCTGGAAGATCTTAATGGAATACTGTGGAATACACAGAGTATCTTATTAGTATTTCCTTACATTGTGTCTTTTAAAAAAAATTCCTAACCCCTGAACTGGTGTATAAGTTAGAATGAAGAAACTACGCGAGAAATGCTGGTTCAAAGAATAAATAAGTGGTTGGTTGGCATGAAATAATTTGGAATAGAAGACAGGTATTCAAATCACAGAAAAAAAATGTGTAGAGAAAGGAAGGAAAATGGCAGCTTTATCATTTGCATACAGTACGTACACCTGGTTTTTGTAGGTTTTGGGTTATTCCACATCAGATTGTAGGAGTCTGGTTTTATGGAGTGTTACTTGACTTGAAGATGATGTATTTCTGTCACCAGGCATGGCTGTGTCAACCTGTTGTTTATTTCCATTTGCAATCTCTTCTTCTGTACTCTCAGGTGGTGACCATGTGGATAATGGGATTATAGCCAAATGGTGGTTTCATCTACAGCATCACCAAAATGCTGTTGTTATTGCTTCTTTCTGGGATCTTCTTGCATCTTTGCTTCTCAAGGGGCACAACTTTCATAGAAGTATGTCCAGGAATAGAGGTGACCTGCTTTTTGGCAAGTAATTGCCTGGAACGTTTTTATGTACTTCTCTGCGCTCTCAATACATTTCATGCTTCCCTCTATTTTTGTGTATTAACTCATTGTATTTCTTAAATTTATATTTTACTTTTCGAATGGAAGTGAGATTTGTGTATGGTAAATATAATTAATTCAACCCCATGGACACGCTAGTCACTCTCCAGATTATGGCAAGTCTTTCTCAGATGCAGAGGGCCTTGGTGTGCCAGTGATTTTTTTTTCCCCCATGTGTAAGATACTTTTTTTCCTCATTTGAATCAGGAGCCCACAGTTTTTTGGACAAGTCTCAAATGAAATCTTAAGCATTTGTGTTGTCTGGACTAGACCTTCTGTAGTATCCTTTTTGTTAGACCTAGTATATTTCATTCCAGATCAGGATCTGAGAGTGACTATAATTCACCTCTTTCCAAGTACACAAACTTGGATGACATGACAACTGAGTGTGTAAGGGAGAGCGAGACCCTTGCACTGCCATTTTCAGCCATTATGATCTCATCTTGTAGAACATGTTGTATAATCATTTTCTTGGTATCACTAGTGTTCTTTGGGGCTGGAATAAAAATCTTAGCGTACCAAAGAGATTTCCCCTTTATCCACGTTACCTTGGTTTTCCTTTATTTTCTGTTTAACCTAAGTGGACTTAATATAAAATAGTGTTTACTTGGTGTTTTAATTGTCTACTTCTATAACATAAGCTGCACTGTCCACTGGGGAACTGCTTACCATATTGCCCAACCTGTCTAGATAGGTTTATACAGGGGAGACATTCAGTAATATTAACTCTCTAGACCCGTGTTAGCAATAACAAACAATTGCTGGAATTTTAAGACTATATTATCAATCCCTTTGATGTCAGTTAATCCTACCAACACAAGATTTAATGGTTTAAAAATCTTATGAATGTGTACAGCCATTAGTGTCTCCTTATTCATTGGCAGCTAGATTTTGAGGTAGAACTTGTGTTCCCTTTTGCAATACTCATTTATTTTACCTGGACAGAAGATGCTCTTGTACTTCCAAAGTTAATTTGTCTCATACTATTTCTTGTGTTAATATTTTCCAAGTTCAGGATGCTGTCTGGATATAAGAAGATGAGTGTCCTAATCACACACCTTTACATTATATGAAACATGATTCAGAGTTTTGTAGTCTGTATAACAATATACAGAGGTCAGCAAAATTTGTAAAAGAACAGACTGTATAGGCCATACTGTTGTAACTACTCAACATTGCCATTATATGTGAAATCAGCTATAACCAATTCATAAACCAATGAATATGGCCGTGTTCTAGTAAAACTTACTAACAAAAACGTGTTAGGCCAGATTTGGACCACAGGCTATAGTTTTCTGACCTCTGGCTTACAGCAGAAGTTTATTTTGATACACGGAAAGCAGAAGCGAGAAAATGTATTCTATCCCATGTCATTTTTCTGAATCCTAAACATAGGAAGTTAAAGTAAAACATGGGGCAGAATCTGCTTTAAGCCTTTGAATTCTTGGCTCTTAAAACCAGGTTGAGGGTTGTGTGTTTTTATTCTTTTGTATCTCCTTTTCACTTTGGCTTGGCACCTGGTTCATTGAAACAGAGCCAATAAGAATGAGTGAGTCAGTCAGTGATAAGAAGCAACCTGTGGCCATTTATCCATTCCTACTTCCTAGGCTTGATAAGTAGTATCTGTAGTATAGTTGTCAGTAACTTTTTGAGCTTACGTAAGTTTATGTGGAATTCATTTACAAATGTGTGATTATGATGATAGATGTTATTTTGTAAATTTCAAGGTTCTTTAGTGTGGCATGGACATGTTTCCAAATCAATAAATGTAGCTTACCCACAGACTTTATGGGATGTAAAGTGTGTATTACAATGAGTGAATCCATTTCTCTGTTTTGGGAAAGCAGGTTAATTTTTTTTTGTTTTGTTGCTACATATAATGTTGACTATATGTATATTCTAATGCAGTTGGTCTCCTAATTCTACAGGATAGATGTCTAGCTGTTGCATTGTTGGATCATCAGTTTCGTTTTAGTTAGATGCTATGAAATTGCTCTTGAAAATGGTGTCCTCTGCCACCACAGAACGGTGTTGTTATGAAAGTGCCAATTTTCATAAAAACTTGTACACAATGGGTATTAAGAATTTTTTAGGTTGGGCGCAGTAGCTCATGCCTGTAATCTCAGCACTTTGGGAGGCCTAGGCAGGTGGATCACCTGAGAACAGGAGTTCCAGACCAGCCTGACCAACATGGTGAAATCCCATCTCTAATAAATACAAAAACTTAGCTGGGTGTGGTGGCATACACCTGTAATCCCAGCTACTTGGGAGGCTGAGACAGGAGAATCGCTTGAACCCAGGAGGCAGAGGTTGCAGTGAGCCGAGATTGCACTTCTGCACTCCAGCCTGGGTGACAAGAGCGAAACTCAATCTAAAAAAAAAAAAAAAAAAACTTTAAATTTTTAACCAATCTAATAGGTGAAAATGGCATTTTTAACAGAAGTCTAACTTAAACAATTAATGGCCATGGGTAAAAGAAGAATCAAATAATGATGCATGATTTATAAGATAAGGCAGTACTCAATTTTTCCTCTACTCCCCCCAAAAATCCTGTTTATCTGAGTTAGAAATGATTAATATTTTCTAAATTTAGTGCCGCCTGGAAGTTTATAAATTCCCTAAGTATACCTTATACCAGCGTTTTTCTGACTTTGTATTTTTGAAATAATTTTAGATTCAGAATCACAAGAATCACACAGAGCAACCTGATTTACGCTTCACCCAGATTGACTTTTTATTCTGCATTGTTGTGTTCTCCCCTCACTTCCTCCTCTTGCTCTCTCCTCCCTTCATGTGTTTATACATAGTGTTATCATTCGATGTATTATTGGTGAATGATTTGCCCACATTATCTTCCTGTAAACCAAAACACTTAAACATCTACTTTCTAAGAGCCTGAGCATGTTATATTGACTTTGGTACAAATTTCAAAATCATGAAATGTGTCAGTAGTATAAAAGTATAACAGTATACAGTCCATAGTCACATTTTACCCATTTTTCCAGAGGTGTTCTTTATAGCAGTTTCTTCACTTCTACAACATCCAGAAAAGGATCTTCTGTTGCATTCAGTTGTCATGTCTCTTTAGTCTTGTTTAATCTGAAACAGTTTCCTGGACTTTGATCACATCAGTATTTTTAAAAAGTAATAGTTAACAGTTTTTAAGGAGATATCTCAGATTTTGAATTTTGTGTTTCCTCATGAAAAGGCTTAAGATACTCACTTTGAGCAGAAATACTTCAGTATTCTCAGTCTTCGTCAGTGAATCATATCAGGTGACAAACAATGTCACTTTTTCTCACTTTGAACTACTTTGGTCTCTTGGTTCAATTGGTGTCCACTGAACTTTTCCACTTTAGTTAACATTCCTTTGTAATTAATTTGGAACTATACAGGTATTCTATTTTTCATCAAACTTTCATCTAGTAGGTTTAATATGCATAGGTGACTTTTACCTGAGTCAGTGATGATTAGAAAAAAAATCTGTTGGCCGGGCCTGGTGGCTCACGCCTGTAATCCCAGCACTTTGGGAGGCCGAGGCGGGCGGATCATGAGGTCAGGAGATTGAGACCATCCTGGCTAACACGGTGAAACCCTGTCTCTACTAAAAATACAAAAAATTAGCCGGGTGTGGTGGCGGGCGCCTGTAGTCCCAGCTACTCGGGAGGCTGAGGCAGGAGAATGGCGTGAACCTGGGAGGCGGAGCTTGCAGTGAGCGGAGATCATGCCACTGCACTCCAGCCTGGGCGACAGAGCAAGACTCTGTCTCAAAAAGAAAAAAAAAAGAAAAATCTGTGTTATTGCTTATATGCATTATTTAGCGTCTTGTACTGTAAGGAAGAGTTTGTATATCATGGCCTGTCAGAACAATCCAGCAATGTCTTTTATCAACTGAAAATTCTGAAAGGAAGAATAAGGTGGTGATTTATATGAGAATACAGGGAAAGGGTTACCCAAAGAGTCTAATGAATTTATGTCTAAACCATGGAGTGGAATGTGAGAGGCACATAGAACCCCAGAGTTGTGATTCTAATACATTGCATGGTGGAAGGAGAAGAGGAAGTTTTTGGTAATAGTGTTTCATGTAACGTATCTGTGTAATGTATGTGTGCCTTCATTATTGGGAGAGTGTTCAACAGTTCACAGTTGAATAGACTGTGAAGCATTATGCTGGAATCTGGGTTCAGATTCTAGATCTGTATCCTACATATCACCAATGTTTGTTTATCAATTTTTGCTTGTCATTACTTTATTTAACCCATTAGGGTATCCAAGACTGACAGTGAAGGGACTGCATTTGGGAGCTATCTGAAGACAAAAACTCAGCTTTTTGAAGTTTCTTTCATGTGTCACCTTACATGGCCCCTCCCATTCTCTGTGGAGAAGTTTGTGTACATTATTCAGACTACTGTGCAGTGACTGTGTTGTTTAAAACCTATACATAGCCAAACTCTGTTCTGTGTTCTCTGTAACTAGGGCATTAGTCTCCCAGTAGTAATCCTGCATCTTATGCTAGTTAAAGAAGGTTCCCAGAATAAAGACATTCTTACTTTTGAACAATGACTTGGATAGATTGAGGAAGTGGTTTTAATAATCACTTTGATATATTTCAAAATCTAGTTCATTATTGGTGAGGTGCAGCCACCTGGCATTAATGGAAATGTATAATTTGAAACCAGTGCAGTGGAATCAGAGGCTTGAACATGACCTAAGTCTTGATCAGAAGTGGTCGTCTGAATGTTCCCTGCTCTCTGTATGTGACTTGGTACTTAGTCTTCAGTGGCAGGATTGCAGCAGAGGTCCAGTAAATATTGTTCATTCGATGTATGGAGAAAATGGAAGTAAGGCCAAAAATGACTGATTGTAAACAAATGAAGCACCAAGTGAATAAATGCACAAATAGACAAATAGCCAGCAGGAAAAAAAAAAAAACAACAACTTGTTACCTAAAGAATGGAAACCAAGTGGAAAAGGCCGCCAGGGACCTAAGATACTGTTACCATTTTAATATGCATATTGTTGCTTTCACATATAATACAGTAAGGGAGTATCAGAAAACCTGAATCTGCCTGACTAAAACATACCCTGTTCCACAAAGCTATATATGAGAGAATGTTTAAGGTGGTTTAATACCGAATTCATAAATTCAGCCTCAGTGTAGCAAACTTCTAAAGCTTCCATGACGTGAGGGAAATTTTAACAAACAATGGAAATCACAGCACTAAAGTACATTACTATTATGTGATTCTCTGATGGTAATAGAAACTGTGCTGCAGGACACGTTTTGATTCGGGGAGAAATGTAGAGTAACTCCACAGAGGAATTCATCCTCTCTAATTTTAAATCTGAATGGAACCCACATGCCCATACCCTGGAGATGCATGTAAGGGAACAACATGGCTTGCTCTGTTAAAAATAGAAAAGAACCTTCAATTAATCATCCTGTGAACTTGATAAGAGGATGCAGAGGAACGTAAATGCCTATCTGTATATCTGTGATTGACCTTGGAACACAGTGAGTGCCCTCTAAAGAGTAGCCCAGTAAGAACTGTATCATTCCACCAATCAAATTAGATCCTCTTGCTTCCAGTGGGAGCAGAGTGACACAGACCAAGGAAAGCCGAGGAGAAGATTGTAGCCTTTTATTTCTCCTTGTATTTGTTGAGGTTCACTGCTCACTGATAAATGATTTGCACAAAAAAATTCAGGCCTCTGACTCTTCTGGTATTTGATTTATCTAGTAAAGTTAATTCCAAGACAAAAGTGTACAGTTGGTTAAAAATACCAGTCTCATGTTTATTTGATGGTTTGAAATATTCTCTGCTACATTGTTGTACCTCATTTGTCACCTTGGAATAAATGACAATCGTGTTGATTTTTCCACAAGATAATTTGATTCTAAAATTCATTTATCTTCAGGAATTAGAGATTGTAAAAATGTCATCTCTTGTGTCTCATTTAGTCATTTCCAAGATTTAGTGGGTGTTCTCCCTAAGTGCCTTGAACAAGAATGCCTTGTTCAATGGCTGTGTTTTACTCATAATTAACATGCCAACTGCTTTGGGTTTTTTAAGATTTACAAATTTCTTCTCTGCAGTACTTAACTTTCTATATTTTTATATATTAAAACAAATTAGGTAGGATAAAGATCACTGTGGATGGTATAAATACTAATAGCAAAACTAGAAGTAAGAAGTATTTACATAAGTTGTACATAGGTATTACATTAGGTTGTCTTACATGAAAGTATTATGAAGCACTGGGATTTGGGGTGTATTTTGAAATCCTTGCCAGTTCTACTTGATAAAGCATTGAATGGTACCATATGAGAGGAGAAGAGGACTGAAACAGGACTCCTTATGATTTAGACCTCAACAACTACTAGGGAGGGTTGGTTTTTCTTTGAGTGCATGATTTTTAAAAAGACTATTTTGCCAGTTTTAGTTCCATATTAAACCCACAGATTAAGATTTTGGTTTTGAAAGTGTAAATAGGAAGCTTGAGTTGGGGGGTATTTGGAGATAGAGATAATACATAATGGCTGTGGGAAAGGATGAGATCTAGAGTGTATGTGGGAGTAGGAACATACATGTCTGAGACCATGCTTTGGATGCTCTGGCATTTAGATATTGACAAAATGAGGAAGACCCATTAAAGGAGATTGTGGCTAGAGTTACTAGGTGAAAACCAAAGGGTTGTAGTGTTCCTGAAGATACATGAAGAGTGAGATTAAAAATTAATGAGGCGGCAGTGACTTTTGCATGGCAGTGAAAGACACAGTTCAATTTGAAAACTGAGTATCATTGATCTTAGTGCTCTTATTATTGAAAAGGTCAAATTAAAGAATACCTTTGAGTTGATGGTCTGTATTAGGTTACCATTGTTAGCCCAGCATAGACACATGCTGATACCTGTGAGTTGCTCTCATCAATTACCATGTGAAGATGCATCCCAGTTGTACAATTTTAGATCCTCTTCATTCCACATTATGTGTATACAAGATAAAACTTGATGTTTTCATTATATCCTTTCAATCTTCTAACAG